CGCGCGGTTAACTAGGCATTCTCTTGTATATAACTTGTCACAATAATATAATATTTGTTTTCATAGCTTAATGCAAAAACTCTAGGGATTTTGGAGAACTCTAAAATCCTTGTGTAAACCCTTTGGCCAAGCTTCACACAAAAGGTCAAGGTTTCTTCAACTCACTTGATCGTGTTCCATTACAAGAGAAAATTTCTATCTTAAAACGCGTAAGTGTTCTTTACAAAACCATTCGAGATCATGCCTATTTTTGTCCAAATGAACTGTATATAGTATGGACATGTACTCACTGGGGATGGTATAACAAAAAATAAAAAATATCCATTTGGTAACACAAGTGTATAATCAGATTTTGTTTCATCTTTCCTACTTATTTTAAGCCACAGAACATCGTGACCATTCATTTGCCATGGGATAGGAGGCGCTGGTGGGATTTGATAGATAGTACCTGTCATATATAATGACCCCACCCATCTTCATCACAAGTTTTTTTACCTGCCTCCTCTCATAGTTATAGCCCTTTATTTTTTGGGATAAACCCCCCCCCCATGAAAATGATAAAGTAAAATGCGACATACTCCCACGGGAAAATTTTAAATTTTCAGAAACTCAGGAGCGCTATTTTAGGCACTTCCATTGCACACCAAATTTTTTCAGCTGATCCCCCTTTTAAGCCATATCCCTGGCATGTCCCCCTCTAGATCCCACCAGCCCCCCTCCCTTGTGAAAAATGAACGGTCCCTGACATGCTCTCAGTAAAAATCTGATAAATACTGAAAAACGTATTTTGCTTTAAAAAGACGAAGGTTAATGGATAAGACGCTAAATTCATGGTTAATTTGCTAGTGCCGTATTTTCTCTGTATTTTCAGAATACTAATTTTAGGAGTTTCTGTCACGCTAGGTTTTAATTTACGCTTTTTTGATAGCGCGAATAAGCTACAGGTAAATATCCCTTTTTTGGTAATCTTTACAGCTGAGGGTCCTTTTTAAACGGTATCTCCTCAGTTAGTAGCGGCTTGCTAACGTCGTGCTGAAGATATTCCGAGCCATTGACAAAAATGTAGCCGGTTAGTTTCATCAGTGGAGCACATGCCTCCTCAAACATGGAAACTAGCGAGGAGTCTCGGTCGAATCTCCAATGACCTGTCCTCTTAATATCATTTTCCGATACCTTAAAAGTTGATCCGCCAGTTCCTTCGGGCTTTTCACCTTTCACAATCCACCGATATATCGACTCATCCATGGAGAGGCCAACAAAGTTGTACAACTCCTCCGCCGTGTTTGTAACGTTACCTACAATGTCTTCATAACGGATCACCTTGTATCGGCCTTTAAACCAGTTTAACCAGTTTTCCTTTACGTAGTTTATATTATTGGAAACTTGCGAGCACATCAACTCTGCGTGTTGCTTCACTAGTTCCCATCCTTCCGTGGTTAAGGGACTTGAAGTAAACAGTTTTCTTTCAGGTCCCTTCGTGAAGAACTTGCGGCCTAGCAGAGACGACACCATAGCACGCGGATCCCTTACCAGATGTATAATCAAACAGTCAAATTTAGCTGGGTCCGCATTACAGACCCTCTGAAGTTCTTGTATTCCAATATTTCGTGGCAGTCGAGTTTGCATTACTTTGGCCACGGTTAATTTCTTAGCTTTGCAAGCGTTACTGAATGTCACTTTGGTGAATTCTGGACTTAAATACCGCCAATAAGTTAACCTCTTTGATCTCCTCACGGACGGAGGAATTGCCCTTTTCAATGTAGCGTCCTCTCGAAATCCACAGTCAAACACGTCTCGAAACAGGGCTGAAAAATCGGATTTGTAGGCATCATTAGTTACTTCATTGAATGGATTCTAGGCCTGTCCCGATTGTGCTCGTAAAATGCTGGAAAGTTGCTCACTGGAATGCCAAAAAGTTGCTAAAAAATTGCCAAAAATCCAAAAAGTTGCTACCAA